AGCAGGAAGGACCGGAGCAAGTGGCTCTACATGGGATGGTACTGGGAAGATCTGAAGGGCATGTTTCCCAGAGTCCTGAACAGGGAGACACCTGTGAGGAGAGTCAGCGTATCCCAGAAAGGCAGCAGGGAAACCATGCAGTGGAGAGACAGGGTAAATCCAGTCACAGGAGTAGAGGAGTGAAAAGAACCAAAAAAGCCATTCGACAGAAAATACCCAATCAAGAGAGACCCTACACTTGCAGTAAATGTGGGAAAAGCTTCAAACTGAAAGCAGTCCTTTTTTTGCACCAGAAAATCCACTCAGGAGAGAAACATTTCAACTGCTCTTACTGTGGGAAAAGCTTTGGTCAACTTGCTACTGTTATCGAACATCAAAGAACCCACACAGGAGAAAAGCCCCTAAAATGCTCTGACTGTGGGAAATGCTTTAGTCGACGCTCGTGCCTTACTGACCATCAGAAAATACATACAGGAGAGACACCCCATAACTGCTCTGACTGTGGGAAAAGCTTCAGTCAGAGGTCACACCTTATTAGGCATAGGAGAAGCCACACAGGGGAGAAACCTTTCAATTGCTCTGACTGTGGGAAAAGTTTCAGGCAGAAATCGCACCTGGTTGTACATCAAAGAATCCACACAGGAGAGAAGCCCTTCAGATGCCCCAACTGTTGGAAATGCTTTAGTCGACGCTCATGCCTTACTGAGCACCAGAAAATGCATACAGGAGAGACACCCCATAACTGCTCTGACTGTGGGAAAAGCTTCAGTCAGAAGTCACACCTTGTTAGACATAGGAGAATCCACACAGGAGAGAAGCTCTTCAACTGCTCTGACTGTGGGAAAAGCTTCAGTCAGAGCTCACACCTGGTTTTACATCAGAGAGTCCACACAGGGGAGAAGCCTTTCAGATGCACTGACTGTGGGAAAAGCTTCAGTGGGCACTCGAGTCTTATTAGTCATCAGCGAACCCACACAGGAGAGAAACCTTTCAACTGCTCTGACTGTGAGAAAAGTTTCAGGAGGAGCTCGCTCCTTATTAGACACAGGCGAATTCACACAGGAGAGAAGCCCTTTGACTGCTCTGATTGTGGGAAAAGCTTCAGTGGGCGCTCGAGTCTTCTTATTCATCAGCGAATCCACACTGGAGAGAAACCCTACAGCTGCTCTGAATGTGGGAAAAGCTTCAGTAGACGTTCAAGTCTTAATATTCATCACAGAACCCACACAGGAGAGAAGCCCTTCAACTGTTCTGACTGCAGGAAAAACTTCAGTCAAAGGTCAGAGCTTGTTAGACATTGGAAAATCCACACAGGAGAGAAGCCCTTCAACTGCTCTGACTGTGGGAAAAGCTTCCGTGGGAGTTCACACCTTGTTACACACAGGAGAATCCACACAGGGGAGAAGCCCTTTGACTGCTCTGACTGTGGGAAAAGCTTCAGTCAGCACTCACATCTTATTAATCATCAGAGAACCCACACAGGGGAGAAACCCTTCAGCTGCTCTGACTGTGGGAAGAGCTTCAGTCAGAACACACACCTAATTAAACATCAGAGAATCCACACAGGGGAGCAACCCTTCAGCTGCTCTGACTGTGGGAAAACCTTCAGTCGGAACACAAACCTCATTGACTATCAAAGAATCAACATAGGACAGAAAGCTGAATGCGGGAAAAGCTTCAGTCAGAACTCATATCTTGTTAGACATCGGAGAATCCACACAGGGGAGAAACCCTTCAGTTGCCCTGACTGTGGGAAAAGCTTCAGTGAGAGCCCAAACCTTGTTAGACACAGGAGAATCCACACAGCAGAGAAACCTTATAACTGCTCTGACTGTGGGAAAAGTTTCAGTTGTCGATCAAATCTTTACAATCATTGTACAGTCCACAAGAGCAGAAACCCTGTAACTGCTCTGAGTGTGGGGAAAGTATCATTCAGAGCTCAGACCTTGTTAGACATAGGAGAATCCACACAGGAAAGAGACCCTTCAGCTGCTCTGACTGTGGGAAAACCTTCAGTCGGAACACAAACCTCATTGACTATCAAAGAATCAACATAGGACAGAAACCCTGTAACCTAAGTTCCCTTTTAGCTACGTGGCCATATGAATGTGCAGCAGCCTATTAAGTGACATGCAAGCACTTAGGGCTGTAGTGGGGAGAGATTCCTCTACCCGCTGGTCTCAACCCTGGTCCGGTCCTGCCACAGCTAGGGTACAGTCAGCTATCCTGCAGCCCCAGTAGTACCCCTTCCCCCAGAATAGCAGCTGTCCTGGGAGTGACATAGCTGGTGGCAGTCTTCTCTCCCTGATGTAGCCTTCCGTGGTCTGCACCTCAAATCCCTCATCCTCGGCCTATCCCACAGCCCACACTCCCAAATGGAGACTTGTCCCCACCTCACATCTCAGCCCCCTCTCTCAGCCCTGAGTCCCTCATCCCCAGCCCTACCCTACATCCTCCTGTTCCCCAGTCCTGAGCCCCTTTCCCAAAATCCAACCCCTGAGAATGCCCACCACATTATTTTTGTTCTGTACATCAGTGTGGAGATGATGTGCCCATAAAAAAATTAATTCCACAGGTGTGTCGGGAAAATTGTATGAAACACTGTGTTTAACTGCTGTGCCTGTGGGAAAAGTTTGTCAGAGCTGATACGCCCTTGAACATCTCGAGAGAGAAACATGACAGATGTTTAAGTAGAAAATACTTTACTCAGTGCCCCTATGTTCTAGCACATTGGATAACCCAACGGTGAGAGGAACTCTGTGAATTGCCAAGGACAGGAAAAGCCTCTGTGGGAGGTCAGTCCTTGTTGGCCACCGGAGAATCCACACAGGGAAGAACTCTTTAAATGCCCTGAATTTGGGAACTGTTCAGTGAAAGCTCAGCCCTTACTAAACCTCCGAGAACCCTTGGGAAAGGGTGCCATGAGTGTGGGAAAGCCTTCTAGCACAGCTCATCTTTGCTGAGATGTAAGGGCATTCACCCAGGAGTGTGCTGGGTAGGGATGGGCCGAGAGATTACAATTCTTCCTTCCCACAAATCCCAGAGGCGGCATTGGCTGTGCAGTGAGGACAACAGACATGCCCACAGTGGAGTGGTAGTTAGGGCATTTGCTCTAAAGACAAAGCCCTAAACCCTGTCACAAGGAAGATTCCAGCTGTGAAAAAGTTCACAGCGGTTTAGAAAACGAGCTGTTATTGCTGAAATTCCTTAGAGGAATTCTCTATGCTGCAGGAAAGTTGGACCTATCACCACGAGGCTCCTCAGATCAGTCAGAGCCGCCCTTGTGCATGACTAGATCTGTGAGGAAAGGCTGTGAAGGAAGCTGCCTTTGTTACAACATGCC